TAATTCACTTTAAATCCCTTTCAATTTGCACTTTGAGAAATAATCTTGTCTGTTGCAAAATCCACTCATGTGCAATATTTATAGTGTGATTGTAAACCTATTTTGATATCTTCTCATGATAACGTATGCTGGGATGCACGTCTGAATACTCCTGCTATGACTTGTTCCCCTGGTCACGGAGAGAACATGTTCCACCCTTTGCAATCCTTAGCTCTAACAGACTGCAGTTGCTGAGCAACAATCACTCAGGACTAGATCCTGGCTGACTTATCTCACTATATATTAAATGAACTGCTGGAAATATCCCTGCACTCTTGAAACAAAAACAAAAATTGGTGGTTAATAATGTTGCTGGAGTGATTTTTGATACTTTATGATACTTCACGATATTGTTGATACTTAGTTTATGATATGATACATTTCGGCTATAAAAAGCTAATCTGGAAAAAATGATCTAACTCAACAGTTTTGCTATTGTAGCCTAAATTACGTCATTTGGTTAGTATTTCGCTACAATTCCGAGTTTAGTAAATAACCCTGTCTGCCTTACATTAAACTACCAATTATCAAAAGGGATCATTTTATTTTCATCTATATAACCTTTTCATAGTCTGAAGGTTCCTATCATGAAATCTACCTCAGTTTAGGGTCATTGAAAAAAAAAAAAGCTCCCATCTGTCTAATTTTTCAAATTTTTTTTCTAATATTCAGAGCCAGAGAGATTACATGCTTTCAAAATTAATTAAAATACAACTGTTTTAGTGGGGGAGGGTGTAATTTTTCTTTAAGTCTAAAAGCACAAATTACTTTCTCTGAAATCATCACATTCTTGTTCTTTCACGGTCATTAATTAGTAAATATTAATTACTTATATATTAATAGCAGATTAGGATAAGATAAAATATGTGTGCTAGAATTATCAAACTGTTTTACTGCTAAAAGCTGTTTATTTTAGGAAAAGCTTGCAAAGAAAAGTTTAGGTATCGACAGAACAAAAAAAAATGTATTTCAAGCTGTATACCAATTGTGTACAGTCTTTGACCAGAAAATGCATTCACTGATCAGCCACAACATTAAAACCACCTGCCTAATATCGTGTAGGCACCCTCATGTGGCCAAAACAGCTCTGATGCATCGAGGCATGGACTCCACAAGATCTCTGAATGTGTCCTGTGGTATCTGGTACCAAACATTAGCTGTAGAGTCTTTAAGGCCTATAAGTTGCAAGGGAGGCCTCCAAGGATCAGATTTGTTGTTTCAGCACATCTCACAGATTCTCTAATGGATTGAGATCTGAGGAATTTGTAGACCATGGCAACCCAGTGTGACAGGGTACATTATCCTGCTGAAAGAGGCCACTGCCATCAGGGAACACCATTGCCATGAAGGGGTGTATGTGGTCTGCAACAATCTCTAGGTAGGTGTTACATGCCAAAGTAACATCCACATGAATGCCAGGATGCAAGGCTTCCCAGCAGAATATTGCCCAGAGCTTAATACTGCCTCCACAATCCTGCCTTCTGCCCCAGGTAAATGATGCACACCTGATCCAAAGGAAAACTTGATTCATCAGACCAGGCAGTCTGCTTCTGTTGCTACATGGTCCAGTTCTGACGCTCAGCAATTTGAGCTACAGCAGCTCTTCTGAGTAATCAAATCAGATGGGCTAACCTTCGCTCACCGCTTGCATCAATGAGTCTTAGGAGTCCCTAACGCTGACACTGGTTCACCGGTTGTCCTTCCTTGCACCTTTGGTAGGTGCTAACCACTGTATCCTGGGAACACCCTACAAGATTTGCCGTTTTGGAGATGCTGTGACCCAGTTGTCTACCCATCACTATTTGTCACTCAGATCTTTTCACTTGCCCATTGTTCCTGGCTCATATGAAATGTGAGAACTGACTGTTCACTTGCTGCCAATATATCTCACCCCTTGACAGGTGTCTTTGTAATTATATAATCATTTTTTTTAATGTTGTGGCTGGTCAGTGTATGCGAGAATAGCCTAATAACAGCAAACTATGTCGGCTTTAAAACCTATACTGTAAAATGCGAATGTAACTTGATACCACACTGTCCATCATTAAATGAACTCTTTGGCATTTGCAACTCTGCTGCATATATATATACACTGCTCAAAAAAATTAAGGGAACACAAAAATAACACATCCTAGATCTGAATGAATTAAATATTTTTCTGAAATACTTTGTTCTTTACATAGTTGAATGTGTTGACGACAAAATCACACAAAAATTAAAAAATGGAAATCAAATTTTTCAACCCATGGAGGTCTGGATTTGGAGTCACACTCAAAATTAAAGTGGAAACTCACATTACAGACTGATCCAACTTTGATGTAACGTCCTTAAAACAAGTCAAAATGAGGTTCAGTAGTGTGTGTGGCCTCCATGTGCCTGTATAACCTCCCTACAATGCTTGTGCATGCTCCTGATGAGGTGGCGGATGGTCTCCTGAGGGATCTCCTCCCAGACCTGGACTAAAGCATCTGCTAACTCCTGGACAGTCTGTGGTGCAATGTGACGTTGGTGGATGGAGCGAGACATGATGTCCCAGATTCAGGTCTGGGGAACGGGTGGGCCAGTCCATAGCATCAATGGCTTCGTCTTGCAGGAACTGCTGACACACTCCAGCCACATGAGGTTTAGCATTGTTTTGCATTAGGAGGAACCCAGGGCCAACCGCACCAGCATATGGTCTCACAAGGGGTCTGATGATCTCATCTCGGTACCTAATGGCAGTCAGGCTACCTCTGGTGAGCACATGGGGGCTGTGCGGCCCCCCAAAGAAATGCAACCCCACACCATTACTGACCCACTGCCAAACCAGTCATGCTGGAGGATGTTGCAGGCAGAAGAACGTTCTCCACGGCGTCTCCAGACTCTATCACGTCTGTCACATGTGCTCAGTGTGAACCTGCTTTCATCTGTGATTGGCGAATTTGCCAATCTTGGTTTTCTCTGGCAAATGCGAAATGTCCTGCACAGTGTTGGGCTGTAAGCTCAACCCCCACCTGTGGACGTCGGGCCCTCATACCACTCTCATGGAGTCTGTTTCTGACCGTTTGAGCAGACACATGCACATTTGTGGCCTGCTGGAGGGTTGTTGCCCTCCTACGGCCTCCTCCACATCTCCTGATGTACTGGCCTGTCTCCTGGTAGCGCCTCCATGTTCGGGACACTACGCTGACAGACACAGCAAACCTTACTACAGCTCGCATTGATGTGCCATCCTGGATGAGCTGCACTACCTGAGCCAATTGTGTGGGTTGTAGACTCCATCTCATGCTACCACTAGAGTAAAAGCACCAAAACATCAGCTAGGAAGCATAGGAACTGAGAAGTGGTCTGTGGTCACCACCTGCAGAACCACTCCTTTATTGGGGGTGTCTTGCTAATTGCCTATAATTTCCACCTGTTGTCTATCCCATTTGCACAACAGCATGTGAAATTGATTGTCACTCAGTGTTGCTTCCTAAGTGGACAGTGTGATTGACTTGGAGTTACATTGTGTTGTTTAAGTGTTCCCTTTATTTTTTTGAGCAGTGTATATATACATACAATATCTCACAAAAGTGAGTACACCCCTCACATTTTTATAAATATTTTATTATATCTTTTCATGTGACAACACTGAAATGACACTGTGCTACAATATAAAGTAGTAAGTGTACAGCCTGGATAACAGTGTAAATTTGCTGTTCCCTCAAAATAACTCAACACACAGCCATTTAATGTCTAAACCGTTGGCAACAAAAGTGAGTACACCCTAAGTGGAAATGTCCAAATTGGGCTCAATTAGCCATTTTCCCTCTCCGGTGTCATGTGACTCGTTAGTGTTACAAGGTCTCAGGTGTGAATAGGGAGCAGGTGTGTTAAATGTGGTGTTATCGCTCTCACACTCTCTCATACTGGTTACTGGAAGTTCGACATGGCACCTCATGGCAAAGAACTCTCTGAGGATCTGAAAAAAAGAATTGTTGCTCTACATAAAGATGGCCTAGGCTATAAGAAGATTGCCAAGACCCTGAAACTGAATTGCTGCACAGTGGGCAAGACCATTCAGTGGTTTCACAGGACAGGTTCCACTCAGAACAGGTCTCGCCATGGTCGACCAAAGAAGTTGAGTGCACGTGCTCAGCGTCATATCCAGAGGTTGTCTTTGGGAAATAGACGTATGAATGATGCCAGCATTGCTGCAGAGGTTGAAGGGTTAGGAGGGGTCACCCTGTCAGTGCTCAGACCATACACCGCACACTGCATCAAATTGGTCAGCATGGCTGTCGTCCCTGAAGGAAGCCTCTTCTAAAGATGATGCACAAGAAAGCACGCAAACAGCTTGCTAAAGACAAGCCAACTAAGGACATGGATTACTGGAACCATGTCCTGTGGTCCGATGAGACCAAGATAAACTTATTTGGTTCAGATGGTGTCAAGTGTGTGTGACGGCAACCAGGTGAGGAGTACAAAGATAAGTGTGTCTTGCCTACAGTCAAGCATGATGATGGGTGTGTCATGGTCTCAGTCTGCATGAGTGCTGCCAGCACAGGGGAGCTACAGTTCATTGAGGGAACCATGAATGCCAACATGTATTGTAACATACTGAAGCGGAGCATGATCCCCTCCCTTCGGAGACTGGGCCTGCAGGGCCATATTCCAACATGATAACAACCCCAAACACACCTCCAAGATGACCACTGCCTTGCTAAAGAAGCTGAAGGTAAAGGTGATGCACTGGCCTAGCATGTCTCCAGACCTAAACCCTATTGAACATCTGCGGGCACTGGCGTACATACCGTGGTCGCAGGGGTTGCAGCTGCGACCAGACCCAGCCCACCGGGGGCCCGGCTGCCCTGTGACCGGGTATGTATGCCGGTTTGCCAGCCTCTTTTCCTGGAAGTCCCAGGAGCTGGCCACCTCAGGGCCCCCCGAGGCTGGCACTGCTGTCACCGGGCGGGCGCACAAGGGAGCATTCTCCCCTGAGCGCTCTGCCCAGCTCCCTTGCGCACACCGCACTGATGCGGGAGCTGGAATATGACGTCAGTAAGTGGCGTGCGAGGGAGCTGGGCAGAGAGTGTTCAGTGCTCCCTCGCCGCCTGCAGGACCGGCCGCCGAGCAGCCCCACTGGACCCCAGGGAACCCCCTCAGCACTCCCAAAGGTAGGGTGGCTAGGGGATTTAATTAAAAAAATATATGAGTGTGTGTGTATATGTGTGTTAGTGTGTGTGTGTTTGTGTGTGTCTGTTATTGAGTGTGTGTCTGCTAGTTTGTTAGTTTTGTGTGTGTGTGTTACTGTGTGTTAGTTGTGTGTTAGTTTGTGTGTGTGTTATTGAGTGTGTCTGCTAGTGAAGGTCAGTGTGTGTGTTAGTGTGTGTGTCAGTGAGTGTGTTACTGTGTGTGTCTGTTACTAAGTGTGTTAGTTTGTGTGTGTCTGTTAGTGAGTCTGTTTGGTGTCTGTTAGTGAGTGTGTTTGTCAGTGAGAGTGTATGTTTTGTAAGTGAGTGTGCATGTTTGTCTGTCACTGAGTGCGTATGTATGTCTGTCACTGAGTGTGTGTCTGTCAGTAAATGTTTGTGTCTGTTAGCTAGTGTGTATGCGTCTGTTTGTGAGAGTGTGTACGGCACATGGATCGTGTGTACGGCACTGTCTGCGGGGTATCCTTAAACTGAAGGTGGGGGAGCGCAAGGTCTCTATCATCCACCAGCTCTGTGATGTCATCATGGAGGAGTGGAAGAGGACTCCAGTAGCAACCTGTGAAGCTCTGGTGAACTCCATGCCCATGACAGTTAAGGCATTGCTAGAAAATAATAGTGGCCACACAAAATATTGACACTTTGGGCCCAATTTGGACATTTCCACTTAGGGGACTTACTTTTGTTGCCAACAGTTTAGACTTTCATGGCTGTGTGTTGAGTTATTTTGAGGGGACAGCAAATTTACACTGTTATACAGGCTGTACCCTTACTACTTTACATTGTAGCAGAGTGTAATTTCTTCAGTGTTGTCACATGAAAAGATATAATAAAATATTTACAAAAATGTGATGGGTAAATATATATATATATACATATATATTATATACATGTAATGGCACTCACCGCTGATATGTAGTATACAAAATAAAGATGCACTCTCAGGTCTTTTTAGAAACAAGTAGTGGTATTTAATCCATCCAAGAAATTTTTGTTACAAGTTGCCGATCGACGTTTCGACCCGTTCGGGTCTTCCTCAGGTTCCTAAGGAAGATCCGAATGGGTCGAAACGTCGATCAGCAACTTGTAACAAAAATTTCATGGATGGATTAAATACCACCACTTGTTTCTAAAAAGACTTGAGAGTGCATCTTTATTTTGTATACTATATATATATACTGTTTATTTCATGTCAACATATTCTGCTCCATGTTATGGCTTGAATAATGTGATAAGACAGCCAATACGATTATTGGCTTTCCTGCTATACTAATGTTACATCCATAGCAATGCATACAATCACTATAAAATATGTTAATGTACTGTATGTAGCCTGCTCTCACTACAGGGAATATCTTCTGATAACTAAAATGTAACACATGGTCAGAACTGAATGTCTCTAAACTTGGCAATAGGCCACATAGGAGTGAAAGCTATCTAATTAACACATCCTGATCCAATCATATTGCAGTACTAAGAAAATCACACGGGTCCTCCTGCACAATTTGTTCAGTGACTTTCCCATTCACCTCAACTCGTGAGGAAATGCATTTAAATCAATGAAAGAACATGCTGAGTTTAGCACATCTTAGAACCCCTTGTTCTGTCCCCTGCTTATCTAGTGGGAGATGTAAGGTGACCTTGTATAGCACTAGTGTGATTCTTATAGTTGTGTTAGGGACCAAAAACTATATATATATACACATTGTGTGTATTTTCTTATATTGGATAGAAAAGTCAGCCATTGGAATAATAACTGAGACTGTAAAAATTTTTAATAAAAGTAAACTTTTATGATTCAGGTGAAATAGTGTCCATTGTCTTATAAGACAAATTGTAACATTCATTATGCGATACAAAATTTGGCAATTCGATGCACTACTTCCATTTGTAAAATATGATGTCATCAGGCATAATTAGTTCAATAAGAAGAATTGTTAGTCATGCACTTCACTGAATTATACAATTATGCAATAAATATTATTATTAGTTATTACTATTTACTGACTTTGTTAATGGACCATATGTCCTCACCCCATTAGCCAAAAGAGCAATTTGCCGATTCCTGTACCTAAAAATTGCTATAGCTGATTAGTGGAGAGCAATATGATCTCACAAAGAATTAATATGAGTGTTCTTTATAAAAAAAAAACATAAAAATGAAGTTACTATATTTAGATCCATATTTAAAAAAATGAAATATATATCAGCAGAGAGTTAGGAATACTATCCCTTCACAATAGTAGCATGGGCTAGAAAATTAAACATAGTTGACACTGTTTTGAATTATGTTGTAGGGCCATATTGGAATGGCAGAATTTGTTGTAATTGGTCCTTAAGTGGTTAACATTTTTAGAGGAATCATTATTTTAACACTATGGACATGCTGGTTTGGTATACACTCTAATCTCTAAAGGCAGTGTTAAACTGGGGTTTTGTAGAACTGTAAGACTTGGTTTTCAATCAAATGGTGCTCCTGGAGCAGTATTTTATTTGGCACAGTATGGATATTTGCTGCACATATATACTAAACTCCCAATACATTGGATTGGCTGAGATCATCAATCTTGATCATCTTAGCTAGGAATGCGGAGCAGCCTTGACTTTACCAATGCCGCAAGGGAAGAAAGGCAATTAAACTCACGTTTCAAACCCTCATGGGGGAGGAAGCCTACATAGGTAGAGGCACACTACGGTGTTAGGAATACTTGTTTGTATTCCTAATACTGTATTGTTCCTTTAATCATTTTCTGTTACCCCCAATGGTTAATGCCTTCTCCTGTTGTGCAATGCACATTTTACAATGTAACCTTAGTGACTCTGTACTAGATAAAGATTAAATGCATTCTAAATATTTATAGGTCGCATATATAATGTACATAGTCTTAGCATTCTCTCCCGTCATATTTAGCTCTGGCAATGGAACAGATTATTATACATGGAGTACTGCTTTAATCAGTTGAAAATGAACCCTGCAGGAGGAAGTCTTCATTCCCTGAAAAGCCTATCCCAAGGGTGATTGATATGTTTCTATTTAGTCCGTCTTTTTATATCCGTAATGAATTAAAGGGTTCTTTTATAACAAGAGTGCCGAAAACTTCTTGCAGGCGCCACTGAGCACAGTTATGCTTTTGTGTTTTTCTGAGATTAACTCTCTTCTTAGAGCAGCCTTGACATTGTAGAGGATTAAAATAATTAACAATTGTAGTGTAAATCTTATAGAGAAATTATAAAGGGTAATGTAAGAATGAAGTGACATTATATAAATGTTAGAATGCCTTAGGGTAAATATATTTAAATCAGCATGTCTGTCTGTTAAAAGCTCCAAAGTACCGCAAATTCCCTCTGTGGCTAGTTATCAAGCCACAATTGCGGTTTAGTACTGTTCGTCTGTAGGCAACGCAACCTTGCTTAGATTCCGGTCGAGTAGAGTTCACAAATAATACAATGTTTTGGTCTTAGTGAAAGAAGAAATGAAAAACAAAAAGCTTAAAATATGATAATTGTTACTGTGCTAGTATGCTCTAGGCCCTTCTAGACGTTCATCGTTGTCCCATTTCTTGCCAAAGAAACTAACGATATTATACTTTAGATCATGTTTCCCTGTCGCTTTTGGCAAGAAATTAAGCGTTTAAATACTTCTTATGGCAGTACTTTATTATCAGCTCATTTTCATTTCACTAGCGAGAATGTACAATGTAATAATAATAATAAAATGTAAAAAAAAACTTGTTGGCATCAACACAAATAGCTTAGTATTTTAATCTGTATTGTGTAGATCACTGCAGTAAAGTTACTGGTACAGTTTGTGTACGTGACTGTGCATTGTGAATGGAAGCGTATTGTTATTAATAGTATTTTTGATATATCGGAGGCCATTGGAGTAATCCACTCATTGGAATTACAATGACATTATGTAGCAGTCACATGATAACAGACTTTATTCCACTACAAGTTGGAGAAGATAGTCCCCATTAATGATAATTGACTGCAGAAAATCAAAATGCAATGCATGCTTTGAGTCACACAAATGGTATTTATAACCAAATAACCGTAACAAAATGATTGACAAATCTATATCAAATAAAAGAGAGTGGTTGGTAAGTTAACTCTTGGAATATATTAAATACATTATTAGCTCTGTGGCTCCCCCTGAATTCAAAAAGTTGCTTGATAATTTGTTATTATTTTCGTTAGTATATTGTGTTATAATAAGGACAGATCACATCTGTTGATGCTATTATTTCAGTGAATCAGTTGAATCATTCTTCAATCCAAGAACATTCTATGTCATTTTATTTCACGTGGGTGGCTTACCTACTTGATGCATTATGTTGTGTCATGTAATCTATGCAGATTATATGTTGGTGTTGCTGCTGCAATATTAACGTCATCCCTGCATCAATATAACACTTGATATAATGCCTTGTGTAATACTGGCGGTATCTTTCACGTGAGGCGATCTACTCCGTTCCAGCATCATGAAAATCATGTCCTGCGGACCTCTCCCCCTTTCACCCCTCTCATACCCAAAGAGAAGCCTGCATGGCATCATTTCAGTGATTCAATTACGTTTTGGCATCACTCTATTATCGCAAGATGCTAAGGCTTATTCTCAGTTCTCTCTGAGAGCTATGTCCGATTCTGGTCTCTAGTAGCCCGAGAGTGCATTATTATGATGTCTAGTTATTTCTGTTTTTTTACTTCGGCTTGTTCCTTGACTATCCTGATTTCTCCACTCCTGACCTTGGTTAATTTACTTAATCTGTTGTCATTCTCTTATCCCTTGGCCTATCTTTGACTATCCTAACCTTCGTACATTAAGTACAGCTACCTCTAAGGAGTGGGACTATGTTGCTATTTTTCACTTTTATTTGCATGTTAGGA